AGTCAAAGATGTTGATTCCTCAAAGTGGCAAGAAGCCATGGAATATGAAATAGATTCGATGCATCAGAACAAGGTATGGACCTTGGTTCCACCATCTGAGGGAATAATTCCTATTGGGTGCAAGTGGGTTTTCAAAAGGAAGACTGATGCTGATGGCAACATCCAAACCTATAAAGCTAGGTTGGTTGCGAAGGGTTACCGTCAAAGACAAGGAATTGACTATGAGGAAACTTTATCGCCTATTGCCATGATCAAATATATTAGGATCATGCTAGCGATAACCGCATATTATGATTATGAAGTTTGGCAAATGGATGTCAAAGCCGCCTTCTTGAATGGTTTCTTGAAGGAGGAAGTGTGTATGACACAACTGATGGTTTTGAGTCCAAAGGCCAAGAGCATATGGTATGCAAACTTCAGAAGTCAATATATAGGCTTAAGCAAGCTTCCAGGAGCTGGAATCTTCGTTTTGATGAAGTTGTTAAGGGTAACAGTTTTATCAAGAATGAAGATGAACCATATGTCTACAAGGTTAGTGGGAGTGCTGTTGTTTTCCTTGTGCTATATGTAGATGACATATTGCTCATTGGAAATGACATTCCCATGTTACAGTCCACAAAGGTTTGGTTGTCGGAGAACTTCACCATGAAGGATATGGGAGAGGCAGCCTATATACTAGGTATTAAGATCTATAGAGACAGATCCAAGAGATTGCTGGGATTATCCCAATCCACGTACATAGACAAGATGCTAAAGAGGTTTAGCATGGACGGGTCGAAAAAGGGTTTTCTTCCTGTCGGTCATGGCATTCATCTCTCTAAGGCTATGTGTCCTAAGACACCTGCCGAAAGGGAACGCATGGAGAGGATTCCATATGCATCAGCAAATTGGATCCATCATGTATGCCATGCTATGTACAAGACCAGACGTCTCTTATGCTTTAAGCATTACGAGCCGATACCAGTCTGACCCTGGAGAGAGTCACTGGACGGCCGTGAAGACAATCCTTAAGTACTTGAGAAGGACTAAGGATTTGTTTCTGGTTTATGGTGGAAGTAATGAGCTGAAAGTGAAGGGGTTCACTGATGCTAGCTTCCAGAGTGATAAAGACGACTGTAAATCTCAGTCAGGATTCATCTACACCTTAAATGGTGGAGCAGTTTCTTGGAAGAGTTCCAAACAAGAGACCACAACAGACTCTACTACAGAGGCATAATACATAGCGACTTCAGAAGCGGCTAAGGAGGCAGTCTGGATCAAGAAGTTCGTTGCAGAACTTGAAGTAGTTCCGAGCATTGTTGATCCAATATCTTTGTATTGTGACAACACTGGTGCAATAGCCCAGGGCAAGGAACCCAGGTCTCATCAGAGATCCAAGCATGTGCTCCGCAAGTATCACCTCATCCGGGAGATTATTGAAAGACTGGAAATAAAGATGGACTACGTCCCCACTAATGATAATTTGGCCGATTCTCTGACGAAGGGTTTCTCTCAGAGAAAACATGATAGTCATTATGAGTCTTTAGGTTTGACACGTCGACCTGATTGGCTCTAGGCCAAGTGGGAGATTGTTAGTATATAGGTGTCCAAGAGACAATTTGTTTTATCAGATGAACACCTTTTTCGACGTGGTATTTCATGATTTATAAATCTGAGCAAACTTTATCTTTATCATATTTATGTCTCGCCAATATTTCAAGTCCACACAAGCTCAATGTCCAAACACAGCAGATCACAATCTGATTTAGGACCAGCAAGCATATCAACATTCATAGCTCAATAGCATAAATATAAAGACTACGTTTTCCTTTTACGTTATACGTCTTAAGGCTTCCCACAAAGCCATAAGCCCTTAATCCCTTGATTTTGACTTAGTTAAGTGTTTACAGAAGTTCAATTCCATTGAAATAGGGTCCACAAACCCATAGCTCAGTTCTGTATGAACAGTACCTTACTGTTCCACGAAATCCCAGAATATCCGGATATATGTTGGGGGAATATCCAGATATCTCACTAGCAATATCCGTATATCAATATCTGGATATCCAGATCCTCATATCCGGATATCAATATTCGGATATTTATCGACCAAATATCCGGATATTTCGCGACAGAATACAGTTTCTGCATTTTGCGAAGATATCCAACAAAGGTACCAACTTTTACCAATTAAATGCGTTCAATACTCCATTTTAAGGTCTATACAGGATCATACACATGTTAGTTACTTGCGTAACCCATTTACATGCAAAGACACCACTTTAAATCATTTAAACTCGTGATCAAGGTTAGGCAACTCACCAAAGCTTCAAACTCAGAAATGGAAGGCTCTTGGAGCTCACAACCAACTCCAAAGGTTCTGACTTGGTCCCAAAACAAAAATAACAACACAAGCTTGAACCTTTCAACACAAAGGAAGCTCCTTGAAGTTTCACAAGCCAAGAACAAGATGACTCTCACCCAACTCTCAAACTCAACACAAGAACCTCACACACAGCAGCTTAGAATCTCATAAAAGGCTACCTCTCACCCTCACAAAGCCACCCACAAGTGTTTACAAGGAGGAAATGTGAAGGAAAATCAAGAAAGATAGCAACTTGGTCTCAAAATGGAGAAGAGAACCCAAGGACAAGGCACCAGCTGACCAGCCTCCAAGCACTCACGTAGGATAGTGTTATGGCCTAGGGTTTAGTGCCCAAAATAAGTATTTATAGTCACTTAACCATAAAACACACAATATTAACTTTAAATGCTACGCTTAGCATTTTAATCCCAAACTCGAGATTCTTAACCTACTCAATTTTACAAGAATTATCATATTTTTCGGAGCATTTTTTCGGTACGCGCTTTTCATAGCCGGTACCAGTTTCTGGCACCAGTTCTCATTATTTTAACTTGAAACTCATTTTACAAGTCCTACATGTTATTCTAGTAATTATCATGCACTTATAATAATTTTCCGGGATACTTTTTCGGTACGCATTTATACCCACTAGCAGAACCGGTATCTGCACTTTTCGTCAGAAAAGTGACTTTCAACATTATTACTCACTTAATTACTCATTTACTATAATTATTAGAGCCTCATAATAATTATTAGAGTCAATTATAGAATTATCTCATTAAACTCATAATTAACTGATTAATTTCCTTAATTAACGGTGCGGGTTCTTACAGTACGTGTCTCTGGTCTCCACCTCTTCACCAGAGCACTGATCAGTATGGGATCAATCTGAAACAAATGCAGACAAACTATCAAAATAAACCAGCTTATAAAGTACACTAAGTTTTTCACATTTATTATTAAATTAAAAGTCTCATCACTGGTACTTTCTTATATGCGTACCTGAATATGTCGCATGCGTGTGACATGTAGGAAGCCAGCCTGCTGCAGGTAGTCTGCTACAATCTTAGGAATAGCATCAGGAGATGGCCCCCCTGCATCTTATTGCGTCTAGTCTTGCACTGGCGACACTTCTCCTCATTCCACACAACCTGCGAAACATGTGTGCGCTGTGTGCGCCTCCTAAGTACGTCCCACCTGTATGGTCTTAGAAGCACGTGTGTCCTGGGATCCGCAGGCTCGGCCTGAGCCTCAGTATCGGATGTAAACCGAGGTGACTCGGACGATGACGAGTTAGTCATAATAGTGTACTATACACAATAACAAATTAATTGATTTCCTTAATATATTTAAAAGTCATTACGTTAATTACATGTGTTACAAAAAATATTAAATTACATGTGTTACAAAAAGTATTAAATTACATGTGTTACAAAAAATATTAATTTACCTGTGTTACAAAAAAAATTAAATTACATGTGTTACAAAAAAAAGTAAATTACGTGTGTTACAAAAAATATTAAATTACATGTGATACAAAAAAAAAATTAAATTACATGTGTTACAAAAAAAGTTAATTTACATGTGTTACAAAAAATTAAATTACATGTGTGCAATATTCCTAGGTCACTAATATATTCCTAAGTCACTAATATATTCTTAGGGTTTAAGACACTACTTTAACATTGGATTCAAAAGTTGTTTTTATTTTCTCTCTCTTCATTCAACTTTTCTTCTAATTCAACGGTGATTAGAATAATAGTGAAATGATAGTAAAAAAATTTAGTAGTATGAATATTCTATTTAAAAAAAAAAAGTTTCATAATACAATTTATTTCTATATACAAATAAAGAGTATCTATTTGATGCGGATCACACATTTTACGATGTGTAATTAATAAATAGTATGTCTGGAGAAAAGGTAAATATATATTTTTTTTTTGTCAATTTAAGTTGACAAATAATTATTTATTTATTAAATAGAATAATAAATTATTTGTATGAAACTATTTATAATCCCCATATTAACCCTAAATAACGGGTGAGAGAATTTCAACCAAAAAAAAAAAAAAACGGGCGAGAGAAAAATTTAAACGTGATTTTGCTAAGATCCCATCCTACAACAAATTTGGATTTTTTTATTTTCGTAAATTTTTACCAATAGTCATAATTTAACGCCTCGTTATTAAATAGTAACAATATCTATTCCTTAAAACAATTCAAAATTTTATAACCTAAATAATATATAAAAAAAGAGAAAAATATTTATCGTTTTAAATGACACAACTTAAATTATTTCACTCTCACAAAAAGGTGGGACCCACACTTTTTTTTTTGTCAACTCTCTCCTCCTTTATCTATCTTTTTTTTTTTTTAAAATAACACAACTTTACATCATTTAATATGGCACACACTTTGCCTATAAAAGAATTCCCTAAATTTACATATCTGAACCCGATATTTGTAAAATCAAACGGCAAAGGTTGAAAGTTGAAATAAATCGAGCTTTGGATTACATTTAAGGGACCCACAGGGGCATTCGACGATCACAACCGTCGAATAGATGATCGTGATTTCTCAATCCACGGTCCATTGTAATGTCGGCTTATATTGCGCACACACATATTTCCATCTGCATCATCGCCTTCAACAACAACCCTAACCTTTGAGAAGAAACCAAAGCTGCCTCAGTTTTTGTTATTAGGTTTTTATTTATTTGCTTCATCCAACACACACACACACAACACGAACATGCTCACTCATCATTAACCATATCTCAACAAGGACAATCCATACCCTTATAGATTGTCACCCTCACCCACCTAAGGTAAGTTTTCCTTGTACACTCTTTTTTTTTTTTAATACAATACACCTTAATGTTTTCTAGGGTTCATGGGGTAGTTTTTATTTCATATATTATTTATTTATTTTCGAATAATAATAAATTGTAGACTGTTTTCATTATGTAGAAAACCATGTAATTTTCGTGGGGGATAGTGATTTTATTTTTATTCATCTTGGGTAAGATCAAGATTCAATCTTTTTAATTATTTTGTTGTTGGGGGGGTTGTGGATTTTGAAATGTTGCACTTGTTGTTGTTTAAGGAATGATTTTTGATTTGTAGAGATAGACATATACGGTATTTGAAATGGCAACAGCTGAGGCAGCTTCTGCTGGGCTTGGTCCCAGATATGCACCGGAGGATCCTACACTTCCAAAACCATGGAAGGGGTTGATTGATGGGAGCACTGGTTTGTTATACTATTGGAATCCTGAAACCAATGTTACCCAATATGAAAAACCAGCTCCCTCTGGTACCGCACCTGTGCCGGCTCCTACGCCGAGCTTGGCGCCCATACCGGTGGCTCATACAATGCAACCTGGTGGGGTGGTGCAACAGCATGGGCAGCAGTTGCTACAAGTGCAACCTTCACAACAGCAGATGAGTCACCTTGCTCAACAGCACGGGCAATCGATGCCGCAACAGCAGCAGCAGCAGCAGCCGCCCTCTCAGGTTGCTCAATCTGCTCAGCAGCAGAACTTGCAGCCAACGCAGTCAATGCCGCAGCCTGGGTTATATCAAGCAAGGCAGCAAATGATGCAGCCCCAAGGACAGCAAATGATGCAGACCCAAGGACAGCAAATGCATCTTCAGATGCAGCCCCAGGTGAACCTTTCCCAACATTTTGGGCAAGGAGCTTCTCAGGATCATGGCTCACATAATGTACAACCACAATTACATCAATTCACTCCCCAGAACTTGCATTATATGTCGTATAATCAAAACATGGTTCCATCCAGGCAACCAAACTCCCAGCAGATTCAGCCAAACATGCTCTCATCTGGGCAGCAGATTCAGCATAACATACACGGTCAGCCTTTTGAAAATCAACAAGATTTCAAAACAGCATTTCCAAAGATAGAGGAAGCGGAGTTTAAAAATGGAAGCCAAGTTGGACTTTCACCATCCCAGTATCAACAAAGGAGTGCCTTGCCTGTTCAAAACAACCAGAACATTCCTTCGGAAGTCAGTTCTGGTCAAGTGCCTAATGTAGGTGTCAATGCTGGCCAACAGCAACAATTCAGGGGCTTATCGGGCAGTATGCAACAGTCTCCCTCTGCAATGCAGTCGCAACAGGGTGGTTCTGATTTATTTTACCAACATGGTCCTAACTTTCAAAACCAAATGAACCCAGGAATGATGCATGGTCATCCATCCAATGTATATCCTATTGGCCAAAAGATGGGACATGAGGATAATTTACGCGGTAGAGCTGGGAATGAATATTACTATAATTCTAACAAAGAGATGCCGACAATGGGTTCTCAGCAGCCGGATATGACCCAAATACCCATTCCGAGAAATCAGCAGGTACTTTTTTTTTTCTAGTGTAAAATTTAAATCATTGCTTCACTTTCCCATTTTTAATTGAACATATTATTTGTGGTTGCTGTTTTATTGTTAGACTGACGTTTTAAAATGGTTTCAGTGCTAATAAAATGCCATTGACTGTATAATATAATGATTTAATATATGGAAACCCTCATCCTATTGCACTCGTCTGAAAGCTTTATTCATCTCTCCATTAGAACACAATAAGGTAAGAGCAGAGTAGCTTGGGAGAATTTCTATTTGTATATTTGTCTGTATGCACTTATGGGGAACAAGAAGATGACAAAAATCACAGAAAAAGTAGTGTGGTCAAAGGCACCCAAAGGAATGCCTAAGGCATTGCCCCTTTAGTGAGGCCTATGTCGTTGGTGCACCTTTCTAGGATCAAGTAAGGAATGCCTTAGTATCTTATAGGTATCTGTAAAAGACCCCAAAACTCACATCCAATTTGCTAACAATCAGTGTTTATGAATAACCAATTTTGGTCCTGGGGATTTTAACAGCAAGGAACTTAGGGTTTTGTATAGTGAACATCTTAATAATATGCCAAATTAATGCAAAATAGTTAACTATTTTACTGTTTTCTTTTTCTAATGTTGACACGTTTCTTCAATGAGGCGTGGATTTTTTGGTGCCTCTCACCCACCTCAAGGTGGAAACCCCCTCGTGCCTTAAATATTTGTGTTGATAATGCACGTGTCAAAGTTTTTACTTGTTTCCTCACTTTTTGTATCTATTAATTTTAAGTTGACTTTTCATTATATTTCTGATTTATAATACTTGTTCTATATCCTAATTAGATATTTTTTCATTTCATTATTCTGTGAAACACTTTTGCAGGATATGAGGATAGGCAATGTCCCTTTTCAAAATGTGATGCCTAGTGGAAATGGAAGTGGTATTACTGGAAATGCTGTGCATAACATGTTCACTCCTCCAATAGGAGGACCTTCAGCTCTCCCAAGTAACACTTTGATGAGGCCTCCTTATATTGGATCTTCGGATGTTACTGATCTCTCACCAGCTGAAATTTACTGTCAGCAACATGAAGTTACAGCAACGGTCTGTAATTTTTTTTTGGCAGTTGTGCTTGGTATTTATTTTAATATCTTGATACAAATGGCATCCGGCTCAAGCTTTTGCAAGACCTTAGGCATACTTGGTATTCTGATTAACCTACATGTTACAATTAAGAGCCTCAAGAGTCAAAAGAGAAAACGAAACCCATCTTTGTTTATATGTAGCATACATGATTTGTTCTGTTTTGGGCAGATTGTACTCTTCAGTGGAGATTTTGGCAAATGTATTTATTTGCTTGTAGAATTAACTTCTTAATTTTAAACTTATATTTCTTGTATATCTTTGGATGGTCTGCTTTAAATCCATATTTATGTCTTACTGGACAGGGTGACAACATTCCACCCCCTTTGATGACATTTGATGCAACTGGATTCCCTCCAGAGATATTGAGGGAGGTAAGTTTATTCTCTCCTGTTATATGGAATAGCATGCTTTGGTGCTTCCTAGGAAAGTAATGGTTTTACTCCTTTTACATGTTGTTTTAACTTAAACTTTACTTTTAAACTTATCGCAGGTGCGATATCTGCTCCAGAGCAGGAGCATATGTCGTACGCTGCACTGCTAATCTGCTATTGGCACACTTACACGTGCAACTACTATCCTGATTTTTGGAGCCTGCAAAAGGGATGGTTGGAGCCTTTCTTGGGCATCTTCTATATGGGTGGATGGCCCTTCATTCAAATTTCACCTTATGTGACCTGGGATTTGTTGCTTATTGGCTCCGCCTCTTATGTCTTTTTTGCCTTTTTTAATTGCCTCAAGTTGCTTCAGTAAGCAACCATAACCTATAGGTCCTTTTGTTCATCGTTTGCTAAATTATTGCACTGTTGAATGTAATTTTGTGTTTTCTAAATCAAAAGGCATTTGATGTGTGGACGGATCATTGGTCTGATTGCCTTTCATATGCGCTCTCATTTCAGATATATTCTGCTGGCTTCTCAAATCCAACACCAATACAGGCTCAAACATGGCCTGTTGCAATGCAGGGTAGAGACATAGTGGCAATTGCCAAAACAGGCTCTGGGAAAACATTAGGCTACTTAATCCCTGCCTTCATTCTTCTTAGACAGCGACATAATAATCCTCTGAATGGCCCCACTGTCTTGGTTTTGGCTCCAACACGTGAACTCGCAACACAAATCCAAGATGAGGTCATGAAGTTTGGCCGATCTTCACGTGTCTCTTGCACGGTTTGTCCTAAGCATTTCTATCTCATCCTTTTTGTAGAGTTTCAGTCTATTAATGTTTGTCTTAATCAGCTTGTGCATCTCTTGATTGATTTTGTTTCCCTTTGTTAGTGCTTGTATGGTGGAGCACCTAAAGCCCTTCAGCTTAAAGAGTTAGATCGGGGAGCGGACATTGTTGTAGCCACACCTGGTCGGCTCAATGATATACTCGAAATGAAGAAAATTAACTTTGGGCAAGTTTCACTCCTTGTGCTTGATGAGGCTGACCGAATGCTTGATATGGGTTTTGAGCCTCAAATCCGTAAAATTGTGAATGAGATTCCACCACGCAGACAAACTCTCATGTACACAGCAACCTGGCCAAAAGAAGTAAGAAAAATTGCCAGCGATCTTCTTGTTAATCCTGTCCAGGTTAACATTGGAAGCGTAGATGAGCTTTCTGCAAATAAATCTATCACACAGGTAATTTCCATTCATTTAAAAGTAAAACCAATGGTTCTTTTGTCTGCTTTTTCAATTCTTTGAAAGCTTAAAGTTATCAATATGATCAATTGTGTTCCATTCTTTCTGACTGTTAGTTGCTATTATCTCACAAGTAAGGAATTGAAGTATCATATGTAGTAATAATTATATTTTCAATAACATTAGCATTGAATTCCATTTTGTATTTATGGTTTGAGGAATTTTTAGGATCCCTAAAAGCATGTAAACCATGTTGATCCCTAAAAGCATGTAAACCATGTTTTTCATGCTTGAGCAAAGTTAAACTTCTATTTTAGGGTTTGAGTAAGCTGTGTGAATGCTCCTTCCAGATTCCAGTAATTTTTTTCTTCCCTTGAAGAATACTAACTTCCGTTAATTGCGTCATTGTGTGTTATATTCTATGTCCAAATATAGAAATACTATTTCAACTGTATCAAATATGAATTAATATTTTTTTGTGGTATTTATGGAAGTTTCTTAAATGAAGAATTCCATCAAAGTACATTTTCAAGAAGTTAGGATTTTTATGACACTTGTGAAATCTTAGTTAATGTAGGCTCGAATTTCCTACTGCAATTTTGTTTTGCTATTCAATACTTGATTTAAAGACATTTTCTCTTTGGTCATTGCATTCATTTGACCTTCGTATGGCTATGGGTATCTTCATTAACATACTGGGTGCATGTTCTCTTAAACTGTTCTGCAATTCTTTCCTGTTTATTTCCTCAAAAGAAATAAATTTTTAAAGAGGGTGAGACTTGCTGCTGCAGTGACCCAGTGGTCATGGGTTAAAATCTTGGAAACAGCCTCTCTGATTATGAGGTTAATGCTGCAGGCATCCGGACCGTCCTAACCCCCCAATTGTGTGAACCTTGTGCACTGAGATGTTTAAGAAATTAACATTATGTCATTTATTTTCTTTTTTTGGGTATACCCTTCTGTAAGTAAAGTTACAGGTTATCAATTTTTGAAGGAGGGAAAAATGTTTAGTCATGTGTATTGCACTTTGATAATGGTCTGCTTATAGAAAGGATACCGATAGCACTTTCTATCCAGCTTAGTTCAGATTGTGTCCTTGGTCCTTATGTTGTAATCCTCTTATATCCTGAATTTTATTTGCAATCAATGAGATCCATCTTTTTTTCTCTCTCTTTAGAATGAATTTACTACAATCTTTTCCAAAGGAAGAATAATTTTTTGTTTTACTATCTTGGTGACTTATATTTCTTTTCCCCCCTGCATAAATGTAATTTATAAACTGGCAGTATGTTGAAGTTGTCCCACAACTGGAGAAACAGAGGCGCTTGGAGCAGATCCTCAGATCCCAGGAACGTGGTTCTAAGGCCATAATATTTTGTTCCACAAAGAGGTTATGTGATCAGCTTGCCCGTAGTATTGGCCGCAATTTTGGGGCTGCTGCAATTCATGGAGACAAGTCTCAAGGTGAAAGAGACTGGGTTTTAGGTCAGTTCCGGACCGGGAAGTCACCAATTCTGGTTGCCACTGATGTTGCTGCTCGTGGACTTGACATTAAGGATATAAGGTTAGCCTCTTTTGTAACTGATGTGCTTATTCTCAAGTTTATAAATGAAGAGGTCATACGATGAAGTCTTTTATATGATGTGTCCATGTGCTAGATAACGATGATGCTATTAGCTAGTACATTTTGGCCTTAGCTTTGTTTAGAAGTTGTACGATGTTGAATTTTGTGAATTATCCACTTTACAGGGTGGTGATCAACTATGATTTTCCCACTGGAATTGAGGACTATGTACACCGTATAGGAAGAACTGGAAGGGCAGGTGCCACTGGAGTGTCATATACTTTTTTCTCTGAGCAGGACTGGAAACATGCGGGTGATTTGATCAAAGTTTTGGAGGGTGCTAACCAGCATGTGCTTCCAGAGTTAAGACAGATAGCTTTGCGTGGGGCACCAAACTTTGGAAAGGATCGGGCCGGTGGGATGAGTCGGTTTGACTCTTCTGGTGGTGGTGGTGGTGTTGGTGGCCGTGGTGGCATGAGGGATGGTGGGGGCTTTGGTGGCCGTGGTGGCATGAGGGATGGAGGCTTTGGTGGTCGTGGTGGCATGAGGGATGGAGGCGGCTTTGGTGGTCGTGGTGGTGGCATGAGGGATGGTGGTGGCTTTGGTGGCCGTGGTGGTGGCATGAGGGATGGTGGCTTTGGTGGGCAAGGTGGGAGAGGTGATTTCTTTCCTGGTAGAGGCAACAGGGGTCGAGGATTTGGTGGCCCTCGTGGGGGTCATGTTGGTTGGGGTAGGGGTGATCGTTACAACATTGATGGTCGTGGACGTGGACGTTTTGACAATAGAAGAGATGTTGCTCACAGAAATAGAGGCAGCCCTGAGAGAGTTCGAACATGGGATTATAGCAGAAGTAGAAGCCGGAGCCGTAGCCGCAGCAGAAGTAGGAGCTGGAGCAGGGATCGCAGCAGAAGCCGAAGCCGTAGTTGGTCACGTGGCCGTAGTCGCAGCTATAGCCGCAGTATTAGTCCGCGTCGGAGCCGCAGCCGCAGTCGTAGCCGTGGTCGCAGTGGTCGGAGTTACAGTCGGAGCCAGAGCCGCAGTCGGAGCAACAGCTATGATAGGCGTGATAGGTCAGATGAACAGAAGGATCTTAAGGCACCGGAAGTAGGAGCTTCTGATCCAAGAATGTTTCCTAAATCTCCCAGCGCCCAGGAGAATTCACTTTTGGGAAGTGAACCTGTGGAGCAGCTACCGGTTGGTGGGAGTACTGAACCAGATAAGCCAGAGGCTGTAGTAGACCTTAGTCATCAAGCAGCTTCTGATATTTGAAGCTGCCACTCTTAACATTTTGTTCTTCTTTGTGGTGGCTATGTTAACCTCTCACTTTTTCTTTTTTTTTTTAAGATTGGCATTGTTGAGTGAGAGTTGTTGTTGTTTTGATGGGTGACAGAGGGTTAGTCAATTTGTGATGGCTCATTAAGCTTAGGGGAACATGCAAATGTTTGGTTTACTGAATTGGAAGGCGTTATTTTTGATTTAATTGTATTAGTTGTGGAATTGGGATAAATAATTATAGCGGATTCCATTACCAATTATTGTAATAGGCTAAAGCTTAAGTCACCTGACTTTGGTGGTAATTATCGTTTTATTTTCTCATTCCCTTTTCTTTTCGGAGTTTGCTATGACAAGTGCAGCTTTTTTTAAGGAACTAAAAATATGAATTATTAAATAAAAAAGTACAAGACTTAGGTGATAAAAAAAAAAAAACATTTTTATGATTTAAGTCTTTTTACAGCAATTTTAAAAGTTGTTATTTTTAACTTTTGAAAAATTTATATTTAAATAAACCCCATATCTATTTCGTTTTATATGCAGGTGTTATTTGGAAACAAGCTATTATCAGTGCTATTACCTTTATCTCTTACTTTTTTATTTTTAGTACAATTATCTCTTACTTTTTAACCCATCAACAAGTGCTAAGAGTTGCCTTGATAAACACACACAAAAAATGAGTGGTGGGAAAGATATTCATGGCCAAAGCGAGGCACATACTTTCTTTTTGCGCGATTCCACTTAGTGGTGAAGGAAAAAAGCATCTATTTTATTTTTCTTTGCTTCCTTATGCTCCTTCTTCGTGAGCAACGCATTCATTCTCAAAAAGTTCATTCTTCAACAAAAGATTGGTATATATTAATGTTATTTCTTAGCTTTTCATGTCATTCTTTGGTTTCATTTTCTAAAGTTCCCTAGTCATTTTTTATTTCCACAGCGGTATCTTCTGATTGTGGTAAAGTCTGCACGATAGGAAGCACATGCACTTACATGCAAGAGATAAAAAGAGGAAAGGTAAAAAAATATAAGAGCTTCAAAACGAATTCACCCACGTGTCAAAAATATTCCATGTTCCATTAAAGCAGTTCTCTAATGAGGCCTTTTATTCTACTAAAATAATACTACGTTCGAACACATGTGCATATATTATTTTATATTTGTATTTTTTTATCATCTAATTATAACTCGTTTTATTTTATTTTAAGTATACTTCAAGCTTTAGTTTTATTTTATTTTGGATAAATCACAGTTATCTTTCACTGGAAGTAATTCTGTTCGGGGCGGATGTAGAATTAAGACTTTAAATCTTTTATAAAGATAATACTGAAAATGATCAAATATATGCTTAATCTATCAATACTTATTTTCGTTACACACCTCGTAGGTGAGCACGCACTCTTTTTTTATAATGTACAAGGAGCTTAATCCATTAATCACATCTTTCCTATCTTACCAACTTTCCCCAGTTAAAAAGGCACACTACTATTTGAATGATCAAAGGGCACGGTATTCTTTAAGAATAAAGACAAATTCATTCAACAAATGTCTAATGGCATTAATAATTTAATAAAAATTAGAAAATAAATTTTCATCCAAAATTAACATACAATATGTTACTTTAATCTTGGCTCATAAATTATAAATAACAGTAACAAAAATTGTAGTATGAAAATGATATTGCAAATGTTTCCTAGAAAGCGAGGGAAATTCCACGCGAATGCGTGCGCATCGACGTAATTTGACGTGCAAACGCGCATTACTGTGACGGTAAATCCACGAGCATGCGTGCGCATCAAGTAGGCAAAACGACGGCGTTGGAAATACTCGCATCAATTGAATAGAGAAAAAAAGGTGGCGTTCTCGTTGTATCCGAAGCGGCGGAGGGGTATTTTGGTAAATGTAAAAAAGAGAAAGTAAATAAGAAAGAGCAAAACGCTTCGTATAATTGTATTGTGGGGGAATCTCTCTCTCTAAAACTTCACTCGTTCTGGTTATTTTTTGTTGCACGCACCAAAACGGCTCTTTCGCTGGCCAAAAGCTTCACCGTTTCGGTTGTTGGTTAGGGTTTCATATTCCCATCAGAAAAATGTTGCAGAAAGCCACTCCTTCGCTCTTCCAACTTTCCAATTCCAATCCTCCACCACGCCCTTTGCCAACCATGCATTGATTATTTCTCTTCTTCATCTTTTCGGGTAATTTCGCTTCTCTCGTTTTTCCCTGTTTGGTGCTCTAAGTTCTACTTCTTAATTGTGGTGCCAATTTTTGAGTCAAGAATGCTCGTTCTTTTTGAGGTTTTTATTTTATTTTTTTAATTTTTTTTTTGGTGGAGCTCTTGATTGTGCTTGTCAGCTTGTGGAAGTTGAATTTCTTGTTTTATTATAGGTCTGTGGCAGGTTCGTTTTTCTTTGTTTTTCGTTGCGAAATTGGTTTCTTAATTGGTAAGCTACTGAGGTTTATTCGGATTTTGGAGTTCTTGAGTCGGCTGTTGTGAATCCATGTTTTAGCTTCTGAAATGGATGAAATGTAACGGTGTGTTAGCTTCACTTAGAAACATTTGGAAGAGGTGCATTTAGAATTCGAACTGTTTCAGATCAGACACGACACTCCAAGCATAGGGTGAATTTGCTCGATATGATTGATATAGTGATATTTGAGTACAAGAAAGATCTGAGTGAGTAATGAAATCATTGACTTCTTCATTCATTACTGTTTTTATAGCGTATGTGGTTTACTTTGAGTTCTCTTTGCTTGCTGGTGTTTATAGCTCATTTGTGCTGTCTTTCGTGTTTGATGGGCTTTTTTAGTATTAATCCTTGATTGAGAAGTGCTCTAATAGTGTTTCTGCATTCTATAGTTTACTTTATCTGTTGTTAATTGATGAAAACCCTGGTTTATGTCTGAATGTTGTTCTCTCTATTAAATTTTTAGTTGTTGTTGCTTATGTTTCATTTTCTGTGACTGTCTACAGTGGTGGCAGTTCTGGTATGGAAATGTATGATGTTTCTGAAACTAGAAACCCAGATGCTTACTTGGTAATTTTTTATTTTTTTAGTAAATTTCGTTACTTTTCTCCTTTGATACTTTGATATATCAGGATTCCTTCAGTAATTCGATATTCTTGTAAGTGAGTGTAATCGTTCATTTTGTATGTAAGTGTGTGTAATCAATCATTTTGTATGTATCATCACTGAGGCAGTATGATGGTCAATAATGTGTGTATCATTTTGACTTAGATTGAAGGTGCTGATTTAAATTCGCACTTCACAAGACCAAATCTTGAACAAACTGAAGTCATGATTAATGAAGGAGCCACCGAGTTTGTTGTTGATCAGAATTTGTATTATCCTGCTGCCACCAATTATGGGTATTACTGTACAGGTAAATTTAAAAGCTTATGTCACTGGTTTTGGTTTGATGGTATTTTATATATGCATCATATTGATTATTTGTTATTTATTGTGGTTAGGATTCGAATCACCCGGGGAGTGGGAGGACCACCATAGGGTTTTTGGTGTAGATGGTCCCGATATTCAGTACACGGTGAGTCTTAACTCCGGTTTCTCTCTATCATATTTTGGGTCAGGGGTTGATATTAATGCTTCTGTGTTTTTTTTTCCAGGGTGCACAAAATGAAAGTATGCCATATGTATATTATAGCTATGGATATGCACAGTCTCCATACAATCCTTATAATCCTTACATTCCTGGTGCTGTGATAGGAGTTGATGGCTCATTTGGAGGAGGGCAACATTATTACACCTTCCCCAATTATCAAAACCCTGTTTCTTCACCTGCTTATATTCCCCTTGTTGTTCAACCAGACAATTTTCCTGATAGTTCTGCGGATTCCTTGTTTGGAGCCAGTGCTTCTGTCAGTAGACCTGATGGAAGAGGTCTGAAACATAATTTCAATTCAGCTTCTGGTAACTTTTCTAGGAACTCTTCAAAACTTCTATCGAATCAGACCAGTTCCTTGGCCAGGGTATCAGAAGGGCCAAGAGCTAATGAGGGGAGGAAGCTAAATTTGAAACATGCAAGTGTTTCTGGGAATAGTTTTCTCAATTCAGCTTCATCAGCTGTCCATCAGGTAGGAATTTTTCCCATTTTCAGATTACATTTCAACTTAAACATGTCCTGGCCACTTCTGCTGTTGGTTAAGTGAGAATCAGCGTTTCTATTAGTGACGTTCATTACTTTAAATATTTTTTTAAGCCATGTGTTATTTCCTCGATAAGAAAACACATGTGGAGGTGATGGCTAGGAGGTCTTTATATATTTACAATCTGTTTAAGATTTTGTTCATGATGCCTGGTGATTTGATACTTTGATGTGAATTTTCCTCTTTGAAAAATGTAAAAGTTTTCTTGAAAATTGGTTAATGGTTATGCTGTTCTTTTCTGTAGGCTAGAAGTCCTGGTGCCTCAGTCCAACCTGTAGATACTATTTCTAACGGGAATGTTATGTCTCATTATAATCAATTGAAAGCAGCTTCTACTTCAAATAGTGGATTTCCTGATTTTGGATCTAATGCTAATGGACAGTCTGCAGTTGCTAAACTTAGGCAGAAGTTTCACTTTGGTAAAGTACCAAGTGACGGAAATGGAAGCTCTGATGTATTGGGTGAGCAAAATCGAGGCCCTAGAATTAGTAGATCAAAAAATCAGCTGTCTGTGAAAGCCTATACAACCATGGTAGGAGATGGTAACGAGCAAGGGAACATCATCATTTATACTGATCAATACAACAAGGAGGATTTCCCTCTTGACTATGAAAATGCAAAGTTTTTTGTTATAAAATCATACAGTGAGGATGATGTGCACAAAAGCGTTAAATATAATGTGTGGTCATCTACTCCGCATGGAAACAAGAAGCTGGAGAATGCTTATGAGGATGCAAAGAAAATATCAGCTGAAAAATCTGGAGTCTGCCCTATCTTCCTCTTCTTTTCTGTGAGTTTTCATTATGATGATGCGTCAATGAGTTTTGATTCCGGTTCTTTCTTATTTGTATATCTATGATCTGTATGCAAGCTAATCCCCTTCTCTTCATAACACTGACTTTTCTTTTCTTTTTCTTTTCTTTTTTAATGCAGGTTAATGCAAGTGGTCAATTCTGTGGGGTTGCAGAGATGGTCGGCACAGTTGATTTTAATAGGGATATGGACTTTTGGCAGCAAGATAAATGGAGCGGGAGCTTCCCTGTAAAGTGGCACATCATAAAAGATGTACCAAATGCATATTTTAGGCATATTATACTAGAGAACAATGAAAACAAACCAGTAACTAATAGCAGAGACACACAAGAGGTATATATAGTTTCTGCTCAGTTCTTTTTTTATGTTTAAAATTGGCAAGTTTTTATGTTAACATATAAGTCAGTGTGTGCAGAAGTTTTTACCTGAGTAGTTTAACTGAACCCGTTCACTGTGTGTGAAAAGATTGTTGCAAATTATCAAGTGTCTTGTTCTGTAATATCAAATGCAAAGTTATTAGATGATGCAATTGGTTGATTGAACCATTGAATACTTGTTCGATTGTTTGTTTGCACACACATGCACGCTTAGTTAACAGTAGTGTTGGTGGCTTGGTGCTGGGTTTAAGATTTTAGTGAAGTTAAAAAGCTTGATAGACGTACTTTGAGTTAATTATCTTGATATTGGATTTAATATCATTTAATTGATATTAGGATGCGTTTGTTGTTGTTGGTATGGGTGCAGCAATGCAGTATGCAATTCCTGACATGAATGTATTAAGTTGGACTAAGTACAGTGTTGTTCGTCATTTTATATCTTGGTTTTAATGTGGGGTTTAGCTATTATCGTAAATTGTGGCTTTGATTAGAGTTATAAAATTTTCCCTATTATCAGTTATGGCTATTTTCTTCTCCTTGAGTTGTAACGTTGATTATTGAATGCCCCTTGCTTGAGCAGATAATGTGTTGGAAAGGTTTGGAAATGCTGAAAATATTCAAAAATTACACTTCAAAGACATCTTTGTTTGATGACTTTATGTACTATGAAAACCGTCAGAAGATCATGCAGGATGAGAAAGCCAAGTTGCTAATCAAGAGTTTTGAAAGTCCGTTGTTCATACCAACAACATTTGAAGCTCCCCGAAAGTTTGATTTTGCTGTTGACGTCCTTCCAGGCAATAATGAGAAGAATTCAAAGCTAAAGGATGTTTCTAATAGCCTAAAACAGAATTCAATTTCAAGTCCTGAGCAGATTGTTAGTAATTCTGATGTCAGTGTCAAGTCTGTGGATGAGAAGGCTGAGAAAGTTGCAGTTGATAAAGATGATATTTCTTCAATTTTAAAGATCGGTTCGGTCACTATTACCCCAAAACAGGCCGAGACTAAACAATCCATTGGCATTGGTAATAAAGAATCAACTGATGTTCTTACAGTAGGCTCAATGCAAGTCAAAGTTAATGGATTTGCTGAATCCTCTAGTATCTTGAAGGTTGGCAGTATCCCACTTGATGCGAGAGCATTACAACCGGGAAAAGGAGATGCTGCCGTTAAAAGTGGATCTAAACGGTAAAATTTTGCGTCTGCATTTCGACTTTCAGGCACCATTTGGTTCTCTAATCCCGTACTTTGGTAAAGATGGATTAATATCTGCCCAATTGTATCATACATTTGGGAAGTTGAGTTTCTTTTCTCTCTTTTTTATTGCTCTTTGGGTTTTCTAGGTTACTTGCCAATGATGCTTTGATCCAAGGCCATCCTTATGTCATGTGTCTTTTGAGCGGTGTTGATTGTGTTAACTCCTAAAGCTTCTATGAAATAGCGTAACCTCTTTTCATTTTGCCTCTCGGCGTCCAACATGCCAAAACTTACCCCCACCTTCATTCTCTGTGATTCTGTTATATCAAAAAGATCTCATTTCTTGAATGTATTCCATTTTGATTTGGTTTAAAGATGAGGAAATGTAACGAATGACTGAATGAGAGCTTTTAAAGGAAGATTACAGTATATCTCCATCTGGTTTATTTATTTATTTTCCTGTATTGTGGAATCTATCTGATGTTTCCTTCTGTATATTAATATCCCTTGCAGTTAATTCCAGTCGAAATATTTATTTAATTTTTCTAAGTTTCCTTCATTTTTTAATAAATTAACATTTGTACCGTCTATCAAAAAAAAAAAAAAAAATTAACATTTGCACCTATTGTAATCAAATGCGTCGCTAGTAAGAGATATAAACACGTTGATACGATTTTCTTCATCTCATTATTGGGTTTTAAAAAAATGTTGATGCTAAAGTCGTTGGACTGTATAAGCTTTACAAATCTAATCCATCAAGGATGTCTCACTAGTCTGACAGCAAGCCCTGCCAATTTCTTAAATGTAGTTATTCCAAACATATCTTACGATTCTTAGGTAAATTTTACAAAATTTGATATACACTTGGACCTCTATTTGTCATTACTCAGTCACTAGTTTGATACCACGTGTGTTTGATGGGTGTGTAAAAATACGTTATTTTGTTACGCTGAGATATTCTGTTAATAAACATAATTATGGTAAATTGAAGTTCTTTATAAATTAATATATGGGTTCGCTTTTTGTCATGTCACATGACAAGACTATTTTCCTGCACACACAAATCAAGTGTGGATCCCACGCTTAAAAAAAAAAAGTCAAACCAAAATCAGGATACGGCGCCGTATCCTTAAGATACGTTGCCGGATCCTTGTTGCAGGAATGAACAGTGTCATTCCTGCAACGTGATCATTATATTTTCCTAATATCATTGTATTAAATTATAATGCCATAATAGATTAGTATATCGGAAAAAATGATATTATAATTTACGCGGTACTAAATTTGTTACTGAATGAAAGCATTAACAAAATGAATTCATCTAAAGATAGAAATTGCTATATCAGTTTAGTTATAAATTGGAGTTGAACCTACCCAACTCGCATGTTAGCATTGAGTAAGTCCACATATAAAATGCACAATAATAGCTACAATCTAAATATTACGTCAACTTGGTACATGCTACTTGCATGTCAATACACAACACAAAGTATCATATCATCCAAACGAATGTCACCGACTCACCATCATCAGTTGAAGCATATCTTTTCATTTGAGTAATAGTATCTGAATAACAAATGTCATTATCAGTATCTCAAGTAATAGATTGATTTTCCTAAACTAGGAAGTAAGTTAACAAAATTCTAATGAATATATATATCACTAAAAGAGAAGTAAATATAAAAATAAATATAAATATACTGTGAGATAGTTATCTTTTTAAAAAAAATTATGTGAAATAGTTTCTAATGTTAATAATAATTCAAATGAATGAGGTTATATCATTAATTAGTTCATACATTTTTTCAGATTCAGCTCATTAAAATAGAGTACACATGCACAAAAGATATTCTGATTGAAATCCTATATTACTGTTACTTACCATTTGAATAGTCGTTTTTCCAACTGCTATTGAAGAAAGGTTAGTCACTGAACCATCAAAGGCGGATTCCTGAGTAAAAGGAAGCATCAATATGTATTATTCAACAAAATTAAATTTTAGTTTGTTATATAACAAGAAGTTGACACAAAATATATAATTATTTTTTTTTAACTTATACTGTCTATATCAGCCAATGGTTATTTTATTATTCTTTATCCTCATATTTTCTACAAGAAAAATATTTTTACAGTTACTGTAGATAAGTTATCTGCATTTGCTCCCAAAACGACGTCGTTTTGGGATTAAAAAATTAAAAAAATAATTATAAAGATTATAATAATCCTGAAATAAATTAAAATTATAAAACACCATAATTTTCGCCCAAAAAGACATCGTATTGAACTTACTGCAGATATATCTGCAGTAACTGCAGAAAAAACGAACCCTATTTTCTATTTCTTATCACTTATCAATATTGATTTATCTATGAATGACTGAGATTGTGATGTGGTCATATTAAATAAAACACTACAGGGTCCATTCTAAACCAAAAATAGATGAAGATATACTATTACAATTTGGGTAGTATTTCTATCACGTAACATGATATGGAAAAGCATTCCTACTCACACATCGAATATTGTGTCATCATTTTTTTTGTTTTTCATTTTTTTTTTCATGATGGGTCCTACCAAAGTTTGTTTGTATAGGAAATTGGTTTTGTATTATGTTACGTAAGATATGTATTTTCCTTGCAATTTACAACTAACAGTTTGATGTCATAGTGTAAAATCAATTTATAAATAATGATAACATACATCAGACTTAGGTAAAGAAGACATAGAAGATCTGATACGTTCGACATCATTGATTATTTTCTTGAGGGTGAAACTTGAAGATGGATTACTTTTGATGAAATCAGTCACTTTACTTGTAGAACATGTAGCTTTAAGTAGGATTCTTTCACAATAAAGTTCATCACCATTTGGTGGAACACGATACTTTCTCCCAATATAGAATCCTTGCTTTGGTATGTGGTATTTTTGAAATTTTCGGAAACTGAATTTTTCTAAATTTTTAATTTCTGAATATAATCGTAAACTGAATGTAAAAATTATATTTTTGAAAATCGAGATTCTCGGATAAATTTTTTTTTTCCTCTACCAAACGCTCCTACATGTAGACAAATATTGATGGAAATTCATGCATGTGTTAGATCGTTTGCCGCATCATAACTGTATGATTAGCCTCAAATAGAATAAATTGTTCTTTCGGAATATGAAAACTAAGTATTCCCAAAAATGGTTGTCTGTAATTGGATATCAAAATTGAAGGAACAGCAATAAAGTATTTGCAAATAAGGAACTACAACTGCAATGCACGAAAATTTTAATAAATAGACAATCAAGAAATATACCTGTAATCCAAGCACTGCTATATCCCATCCAAGTTTCCAAGATTAATTTGTTTCATTTCCATTATCTTAAGAAGATTTGTGTTACAACCTATTTGTCCAAGTCTACTAGAACATTACTATTGTTATTTTAAATAGTGAGTAATTATTTTGTTTGTTTTGTTATTTGAATTTCAACTTTGATAAAAGATAAATTATAGTTATTAGTGGAGCCTAATTAATGTTAAGGAAAAGTTATTTTTATAATTGACTTGTATTATCTATTTAAATTTTAAAGTATTTGAATAAATATGATCAGAGAGAATAAGAAATCTTTTGCGCATTTGTTTATGTGTTTAAACAAGATTTCCTAAATTTCCTTATTTTCTTTCAAAACAAGTGTAAGAGAAAAGTGTTTGTCTTTTTAATTGACATAATTTATATCATTTTACTCTCACAAAAAGGTAGAATTCACACCTTTATATTTTTTTGTCAACTCTTTCTCCTTCTTTATCTATCTCTTTCTCTCATTTAAAATGACACAACTTTACATCCTTTCAAATAATAGATACTTTTGCCTGTAAATATCAATGTTAAAAAGTGCGAACATCATCGTACTTGAACCTGGGACCCAACTTTTATTGCTTCTCGAAAATCTTAATATATTATGATTATTCTTCATGCAACACACACAAAAGTGAGTAGGACTCATTTTTTTCTTTCTCTCTCTTCCTCTTAGTAAGTCTCACTCATTTTTTCATGTGTTGCATGAGACAATTTATCTAATGCAACATGGGGAAAACATTTCCCTTATTCTAAAAGATCAAAATAATATAACACAAATAAATAACATAAGACACTTAAATATCTCAAGGGGAGTTTGTATATTCTGTCCGACTTAAATTAAATTAGTCGATTAATTGATAATTAGTTGGTAGAGAAATAAATAAAAAATACATAAGATGCTTTTTTTTTAAATGAAATTCTAATCAAATAAAAATAAATAAATAAAATATTAACATGATTATATTTTTTTAAAGAACATATCATTTATTAAAAATTAAATTCTTAGAAATAATGAAATTTTTAAATAAAAAATTACAAAAACAACATAATAATTCCTAAATAATACTAATTTTTTTTTTTGTATAAGAAATAATACTAAAATTTAAATATACTTATTCCTTATACATCACCACCTTCGTTTTATTTCTCTCTCTCTCTCTCTTTTCCCCCCCTTCTTTTCTCGCCATTTATCAACGCCAGTCTCAAAAAGTTCATGGAACTAATTGTTCCCTGTGGTGAGGATACGGGTGGCCTAGCTTTAGATTTTAGATTGCTTTCAGTTGGTTTGAATAAAGTACTGATATATTTTTAAGACAATATGTACATGCAACCAAATGCCATCGTTTTGATAAGGATTTGAATATTTGGTTTGGGTTGCTTTCTATTAAAAAACATTTATAGCAACAAGCCTAATTTTTTTTTTTGTTGCAAAATCCCAAATTAGACCAACTCTGACACGTTTGGTTGGTCTCAACAATTTGATTAATTTGATTGTCATTATACCAAACAATATTATTGGACCCTTATACGATTGAAGATTGCTATGGTTAGGTGAAATAATGGAGAAAATTTAAAGATATGAAGCTAACTTAGCTAAGTCCTAGGGTCCGCTGAAGCCAAGTGTCACAGTTTGAGTACACAAAATTGAGAATGGAATAGAAGGGTCACCGGAAATCTAACAAGTATGCAATCACTAAAAAAGGCTTGTCCTTTAGGCACTTAAGAGGAATTTAAATTAAAAATAATTGGAAATTTAAAAAGTGAGTAATAATTCATAAATATACTATCTTAGAGTGTTTGATTGAGGTTTGGTGTTCTCCGCTAAATTAAGCATGATAATTAAGTTTTGTGCGAGCATGTAAAAAAGATTTATGCAAAACTGTTTGATATAAAAATTATTAATGTAGGATCATTTAATAATTAATTTTTTTGGTTTAATTGCCATTTTATATGGTATAAGAGCCTTTATGATCATGTGAAACTTTTGGATTGAATTTACGATCTACAAAAATATTTGATTTTGCATATTTCGTTATATATGGATAAAACTTATGCTTTGATTCGTAACAAAATTATATTTCATTTGTGTTCATGATCGGTAACATAATTGTAATGTTGGAAAGAAATAAGATGACTAAAT